GGGGGGTGGGGGGGGAGGACTGGGGCTCCAGAAGGGAAGGTTATCACTAAAAATGTGAACTTTCGTGAAGGGTACAAACCTTTTTATTTAAAGTGAAAGGGAAGCCATTTAAAAAAGTTTACTGTGAATCCCCAGCCTCCCCTCCCCCATAAAAAACGTACCTTCCCTTATCAAATTTTATGAATTTCAAAACGTAATCAATATATCAATTCCATTTGGTGTCGCGGTCGTAAACTATTTTGTGATCGGTCATTGATCGGTTATCGATCGGTCCATGATAGCGGGGTCAGGGTTCAGTCCTCGTACTTTGTCCGTTGCTATTGGCAGCTGTCGTTGGCTTCGAAGCTACTAGTATCACATCTGTTTCGAAATTAGAAGTGCATAGTTTTTACATATCGGTTCTTGTACTCAAATAAACATTTTTAGATTTCAAAATACTTACCACCCATGGTTGTGAAAGTCATCAGTTTACTTTCTTGTATGACATCAAAAATGGATCCCACCAGTCGAACATGGTATTGTTTGGCAGGGACAAGGTCCTTGAGAATGATACTGTTATCTAGAGGACTAGCTTTGACCGCTTGCCAGATGTACTGCACACTCGACTCCTTGAAGAGGACCATAATATCTGATACATTACCATCTGGTATGTCCCAAGATACCTCGGCTCCTGTCCTGGAAGTATTCTGTACCTGGAGATTCCAAACTGTTTGAAAAGACATTGAAAAGATTAGATCGATGGATCGGTGGAACAATGGATCAGTGGATTGATGGATCGGTGGAACAATGGATCAGTGGATTGATAGATCCACGGACCAAGAAATCTATGAATCTGTAGATCACCGTACTGATAGAGAATGAGATTGGTGAACAGATGAATGAATCAACCACTGATCGAATGGGAAACCATGGATCATGGTACTGCTGAATAGTGGATGTATAACAGGTGAAGCACTCCTTATACTTACCACTGTTTTTATTACTAGGTTGTTCATTGATCACTTTATAGAACCCTGAGAAACCTCCTCTGTCAGGAACTGTATTAGTACGTAGAGTGACTTGGGCAACACCACTACCCTTGGGGATGCTGGTGGCAAAAGGGAGTTTCTTGCCGCAAAACGTTCCGATTTCCTTGTCGTTCGCATCTGTTACTTGAACATAATTGTTGCTACGGAATAGAAACATGCGGGTTTTTACTGTGTTTTTCAAAACCTGCTTTCTTGTTATTTATGAATGTCGTGATTCGTTTTTTCCAAGTTTCCTGTTTTCATTCACGGTGTTTTTGTAACCTCTTCGATTTGTTTGTTTGTGTGTTTTCGAAAACTGAACAATTTTGAAAAGACAGTAAAAAAAAAAAACGATAAAGCACCTATAGAAAGCAGGAATCCCTGGGGTGCTTTACATTTACTCGTAAAAAACGGACATTCAATTCGAAAAAAACAAATGGTACATGATTGAGGTAATCCACTTTTCCCGCTCTTCTTAGTTCTTCCGGTAGACGCGCGTACCATTTGTCAGAAGTCAAAGTTTCCTGCTCTTTTCTTACGATTAGCAAACAAATTTCCACCCAGATGGATTAGTTTAAATGTTAAGCAACCCATGTTCTCTGAAAAAAGAAAAAACCTACCTGCATGATGCGTCACTGCTTTCCAAATCAAACTTTTTAAAAACGATCAGTATTTCATCGAACTCCTCTCCAATGGGAACGAGTTTCCAGACCGTATGGGCTTTACTTAGTTCACTAGAATTACCTAAAGCATGCAAACCTCCGTATCTTTTCGTTAGCCGTACCTCGTAACCTGCAACAAGATGACATTTATAAGTTTCGTACAAGATCGTGTATAATGAGTGCAAAATCCCAAACGAATTTCACACGTCTAGCATGTGCCATGTGAGGCGGCGGCTCTCCAGATACCGCACACGTTAATCTGTTCACAGATCGATATACAATGCGTAACAGCGATGATGATTCTACTGTTTGTTACTTAACCCTTTGCGCATATTTTCGGCCAACCACAATACACACATAGCATTTCGACATAATTCTTCGACATTGCGCAACGAATTTCCTCTTTTCACTGCGTTAGCAAAGGTTTTAGCAATAACTTTATACTGTAGTCTTCTCGAGGTCAAGCCAGTTTCTCTCAAGAGATTTTTAGAGCTTTCCAAGCTTCTCATTGGAGTGCGCAGCCAAATTCACCATAGTTAGACCGTAATTATAAATGTTAGACAGAGAGAAGTATCGAATCTTATCTGTTGTTGCTGATACTATAGAACTTGCGGGACTAAAATAACCTCTTTTTGTAATTCCCCCGACTTGGATATGGTACTTAGTGTGATGACATATGCCGGTGATTGCGAAGGATGTACTATTTGCGTCATCAATTCGAACGACGTTATTTAAGGCTTTTTGCTCGGTGCCATAGAATATTACGTATGCCTTTAGGATGCCGTTTGCATATTTCAGTGGAAGTGGTTATCAGGTGACAAGGATCGAGCTTATGCCAGTTGTAGTAGCAGTTGCGTTGATTCGCGGTTGAATTGCATCTAAAAACCAATCATTCAAACAGTACTAAAATGTCAGAAGCTTGCTATACATAGAGGGGGGCAGTTAAGGGGGTGGGTGGTGGTACCTGTTCGGTAAAATAACCACAAAAAGAGATAATTACATAAGAGATGTTTTAAAGCTTTCCCAGCTTCTCATAAATTTGAAGTAAAGACACCGCAAGAACCGCAATTAGAAATATCAGAAGCATTACATTTTACCGGTCGTTGCTGATACTTTAGGACTTGCCGGCCCCACACCTCTTTTCGTAAATCCCCGCACTTTGATATAGTACTTCATTTGATCACTGATATCGTTGATTTCAAAGGATGTGCTATTTGCGCCATAAATTTTAACTTTAACAACGGTATTTAAGAATTTTTCGTCGTAGCCATAGTATATTTCGTAGCCCATCAGGATGCCGTTCGCATATTCTTCAGCAATTGGTTGCCAGGTGACAAGGATTGAGCTTGTGCCCGTAGAAGTAGCAGTGATGTTCATTGGCGGTTGACTTGGATCTAACAACCAATTAATACAGTATTTAAAGTCTAGAAACTAGTAAGACGTTGAAGGGAAAGAAGGGTACTGGTATGGTCGCTCGCGATCTTCACTTGGCCAGTGACAACCATGAAAAACGAGACTTTAATAAATCTAAGAGAATGTTTATTATTTCAGGGGGAAAATGGGCTATGAAATCGTTGTCTCTACCATGGAGTAGGGGGGGGGGGGGGAATTGGGTTATGTTTGTAAAGCTTTCCATGTAAATTTGCCGAGCCCCCCTTGCGCTAATAAATGACAGCCCCTTTATACCCATAGCTGGTACTTACAGCCTTCCATTGTTTTCAGAGTGACACTTCTACTTCGTCGCGCAGCTTTTTTCCAGTTTGTCATCGATGTGTTTCGTGAATGATCACCGAGGTAAGCCACTACATATACGGTATATTCGCCGTAAGGCAATTTGTTAAAGGTTGCCTTAGTACTCTCGCTAAAGGAATCTGCGGTTATGACATCTCCATCTTTGTGAGCAACACAGACGGGGACATACTTAACCACTTGTTTAAAGTTCTGAGATTTTTCGTCTCTTGGTTTATTTTGCGGCCATGTTACCTCGATCGCACCAGGTGTTTTGCTTTGGGCTGTTATGAACCAGTTTGACGCAGTGACAACTAATAAACAACAAAGGTTCGTTAGTTAACACTTTGATCGTATTGATGGATTGCAACCATTACCAAGAAAGTCAAGATAGAAACATGGCGGCCATGTGGGATGGTATTAACAATGGAAGCTATTAACATATTTCGTTTCATACCACTAACATGGCGACGATGACGTAACGTGCAAACGAAAAATCAAATTTACATATGTTTTGGCTAATTTGCATACGGATTCAGAGCATGCGCAGACATTTTTTACTCGTGTCGTGGCGTCTCTCGATGGCTTATGATTTTGGCGGGAAATATTGCGCTAGAAGTCACGCGCGCGTCGCCATTCTCGCCATTGTTATTTGTATACGTAGTTTCTAACTTTTTCGAATATAAGAACAATCGTCAAAATCAGCTAGTCCTTTGCTGTATCTTTGAAGCATTATGTATTCCATTTATTCAATCCTTTATTCTACAATTCTTACTTACAGTCGTCCAGTTTGTTGCTTGAAATAAAATATTCGGCGTTCATTTGTACACGATACTAAGACACGTCTGAACGGAGTCGAATTTTGAGAAAACCAAAGGCTACAAAGGTCATTAACCCACGACTTGACTTGCAGTACCTCTCAACTTCACGGCCAAGAGCATCCACGTAAATCATGTAGTTCTTACTACGGGAAGAAAGGTAAATAAAAAATACATACAGAGACGTGAATATTAGATTAAGGTTGTTTTTGAAATAGGGACCTGCGACCAGTTTTTCCCCCTCCCTCCTCCTCATAGGATCTATAAAAGATCGGATCAGATAACAGAGAATAACGAATGATGAAAACCTGACAACGACAGAGCCAGATATCCGCAGCCGTTGACAGAAATGACATACCTACAAGGAGAGTAATGATTCAAGGCCATCTTCTTAAGAGTCATGATTATGGGAGACGACTTTGTTGGTGCTGTTATGGTCCATTCACATTCCACTTCACGATCATTAAAATAGTCATCCCACTGTATATTTCCCTTGAGGCTGTTTTGAATCTCAGTCTTGCATTCTTTTGGGATAAATATAGATGTCAGTTTAATGGATAGATGAATGGAATGGGAGGGGATGGGATGAATAGATGAAATGAGGTGCATGTTACGATAGATAATTGAAATTGGATGGATGGATGGATGGATGCATGGATAAATGGATGGATAAATGGATAAATGGATGAATGGATGGAGGGATGAATGGATGAATGGTGATGAATGGATCTTCAAGTAATTCAAAACGTGTCTCAATCTCCTACTTGCTGGCTTTCCACAGACTAAACTTGCAGGATTAGTATTGAAACACCAGTCTTTCCTTACTGGACACTTAAAAATGCTTGTTTCAGACCCGTTACACTGTAATGGGCCTAGCACAGTTGATCGTTTTTTGGGTGGTAGAAATGGAGAGAAATTGAACACCCAAGTTGGTGGTGGAAAACCTGCTTGACGACAGGCCACCCTTGCATCATCCATGTCCCAGTTATCTTCACAAATCACCCCCCAATAATTATTATTGTATATCTCAACTCGTCCTTCGCTAGGGATTCGTCCTCCAACAACACGAAGAGGTTCTGGAAGGTGATACAAAATGATATCTTTTTAGTTACTAGAATAGAAGTTTTGCTTCATCACGTGTAGGCGGCCATGTTAGACGAAAGGAACAATACAAACGTTTTACATAAGAAAGAATTCAATTCCCAAAAGCAAAGGGATTTTATTGTTCTACCATCTACCCACAGGAAGCCCAAGCTGTATTGTAGGCATTGGCAAGTGATGGTGAACTGAAAACCTCTATTGTCCACCTAGTTTTATAGAATAAGCATAATCATAAATGTACCTGGTTTCGTACGCACGTATCTAGTGCAGTGTTTTGTAACCGTGTTGTTTGTAAGTAAGGCCAGCACGGTGACTTTATAAACGGTGTTAGGAGGTAAATAGTCAATCGTAGCTCCTGGGGAATGGGCGTCTACGATGTTAGATTTATTGAATGTGCCGTTGTATACAATCAGATAGTTGTATTCAGAGTCTCTTGACTGAGGCGTCCAAGACACGTCCATTTTACCGATCCCAGATTTGACTTTGATGCTCCAGTTACTTGAACAAGTATCTAGATCAAAATTCATAGCATGGTGTTAAAGTCTTCATTTGAAAGAAATAGGTGCTAATCTTGTAGCAGGCGTAAAGTGCAAAATCAAACTAAATAAAAAGAAAGAGTTGTAAAAGAATTGTAAATAGGTGAAATAATATGACAGTTATATTGAAAAATAATAGCACAAAAATTATGAATTTGTAGAGTATGGAAGATGATATATAGAAGATTGATATACCATCAAACATAACGTATCTCATCCGCATTCCCGCTCCATATTTTGAAGTGAATGATGAGAAGTAAGTCATCTTGGTGGGTTTGTTGACAAGAAATCGTTGTCTGGTATCAATTTTTGTGTTTTTTACGTTCAAAAGAAGATTCTTTTCATTGTCTTCGACCTTCATCTCACTTTTTCTGAAAAAAAGGAAAGCAAGAAATTTCATAAAATAGATATTAGTTATTTATCATTATTTAATACTTTATATACAGAGAGTAAACATTTAAAAAAAATTCTACTTTGTTCCATATCAAGGTAACTGAAAAACCCTGCGAGACAAAATGCATCTATCCATCTTACATTCATAATCACGGAGTTCGTAGTTTTGGCGGGACCTTTTCGCGCCAAAACGCGCGCGCCCCTAAATCTGGACTTTCGCGACACCACCGAGTTTTTTTATTTTTTCACACAATTCTCACAAAGATTTCAAGTAAAATTTACCCTGATAAATATCTTTTCAAATCGACATGTAGAAATTCCATTAAAACTCTGGTGTTTTGGTTGGCAGGGATGAACGTCCACTCGTGGTGTGCCTGGATCATGGAATAAGGATATCCAGGAGAGTTGATAAACCCAGCCTGATCCGTGATGTTATGACGCTCAACTAAAAATAACAGAAAAAAGGTAATATCAGAGGTTAATATTAGTATAGGAAATCGCACGATCTTCTCGTACAATTTGGAAATTAATAGACAAGAGTAATGTTTTGAAAGTTCTTGTAATTAAAGAACTTTCAAAACATTACGAGTGTCTATTAATTCCAAATTGTACGAGAAGATCGTGCGATTTTTTGTTTATAGTTCACTCAACAAAATATCAGTAAACAATGCGAACTGACGCCCGTTCATCTTTGTCTATTTGGCGGCCGATTTTCAGTACATCGCGCAACTCAATGCATAAAAAAGATTAGTTCTTACGGCTTTAAAATTTCATTTATATGTTTTTTAAGTACAAAATGATAGAAAATAATTGTTTTGACATTGTTTTGGCTGTGTTGCCATAGCGACTTAATTCGGTACTCCTACGGAGTACAATTAACGCTATAATTGTACTCCTCTCAACCAATCAGAGTCGAGTAATTTTGTTGAGTGTACTATAAACTTTAAAACTGCCTCTGGGTGGATCAAAGTCAGGGCACGGGTAACTCACAGTCTTGTGGCCGAGGAAAGAAAACCTTTGAAAAACCCTCAAGTCTACAGACCTAACAAACTCTACTCGCAAGGGAAGCCTTTTCTGACAACCAAGTGAAAGTTAATTTCAATGCTAGCGCGTAAAATCGTCAAAAACCGGTTTGAGGAGAAGTTCTTTTTACATCTATTAATTATTATAAAAAAACTGCTATAAATCTCGCATTCTTATTGGTTGGGAGCGCGTGCTTTATAACAGCATACAGCACGCGCGCGCGTTTTCTATTTCTTCATCATACGTACGGCACCAACTGCGCAACAGACGTCTGAAGCTAAATTGTCTGTGTGAGTATAAAAAAGTGTAGTTCAATCATCCTTTTTGAAATTTCAAAATATTTTATCAACACTGAGTAACCACTTAATCAAGCAGAAATCCGGAAACTTTGGGGTACCTTTGGATAATTTGATACAAAATGGGTCCATTATAAGCAGCAAAATAAAGCATGGCACGCGCATATTTAACAGCAATTCTCCGCTGAACTCACCCGTCATGTCCCCACAGACAACACCAGCCGGATACAAACAGTTATAACTCTTCCAAAGTCGGTGATAACAATTTTCCAGGCTTGTTTCATTACCCAAACACTGTAAATAGTTCAACCAGAACTTCGTATTCTCAGTTCTAAATTCTCCATATTTTGGTGCATAGGTTGCTTTAGGCAAACCCAAATAGCGACAGGCAACGGTGGCGTCTTTCAGATCCCAGAGATGATCAGCACAAACTGCGCCCCATTTGTTTTTGTAGTTAACTTCAATGACTCCTTCGTTGTTAAGCTGTCCACCGACAATGCGCCATTGTACTGTGAAATACAAAAATGAAAATCTTTTTATCCTTAAATGAAAGAGTGGGAAAAGAAAGGAAAAGTCGATAAAGATTTGAAAAGCGCGGAACGATTGTAGCGTAGAAACAACGAAGGACCATTCACTGGATTCATAGCTATGCAGACGAACTCCTATGAATATTCAAAGCTCGCGGTTTTGAGTAGTATACTTTCGAGAGAATGGATGAAAAGGACCTATAGGAACGACAATATGGTCTGAGGCATTCTGTTTAAAAATATAACACGAGTTTATATGTCATTTATTCGATGAAAACCTAGATGAAGCACCGACGAAACGCGTCAAAAATCCGTTAAAAAGAGCCGTCAAAAATCTCTCTGAACTTGAAAAAGTTGAAACTTTTCTGAAAACGTTGATACACATTAATATCTAAATATTTGCTTACTCACCAGCGTCTGTGCGCACGCGTCTGGAGCAAAAATTCAATTCCTTCGATTGGGGTACAAAAGCGAACAGTCGTATGGTGTACTCAGTATTTGGTTCCAGATAGTCCATCATAACAGATGGAATTCTGGTTGTCTGTGATTTGATGTTCTTGGATGTTGGGTAGTAAACTACAGCGTAGGTATAATTGGTGTGGTGATCCATTAAAGACCAGGAAATTTTGATGTTCCCGGAGTTCTTCTGAACAGTAACATTCCAGTTACCTTTGCAAGATTCTAAAATTATAATAAAGAATGAGTTGTAATTGAAAACTTCACAAAGATATGAAAAGCAATAGTCCATCTTAAAAGGTATTTGTGGCTTTGCATCGAAGCAAGACGAACTGTGAGCTTGCAATGATAGTGACCTTTTAACACCTTGGACAATTATTCACATCATTCATTCAAGATGACGCAGGGAACTATTCAAGGTAAGGTAGTTGAAATTACCATTGAAGACAAAATACCGCATTCTAAAGCCTTTGTCTGACCAGGAGTTCTCTAACGTGAATGGCGAAAAGAAGGACAGTTTCGAAGGGTTGTTTTGGATCAATACGTGGGTTCGTTTGTAAGTTTTGCCATTTTTGATGTCGAGGAGCTGACGCCCAGATCTATCGATTACTGACACTCTTCTTTCACTAACATCAAAAAAAATAAATGGTAGTATAGTTATAATTCTATCCATGCATCCATCCATCCATCCATCCATCCATCCATCCATCCATCCATCCATCCATCCATCCATCCATCCATTCATCCGTCGATCCTTACCCAGAAGTTCCACGATCGACATCCAGTTGTTCGATGCACAGCAAGATACTCGCATTTAACATGGGAGGTGTGAACGTCCATTCGTAGTTTGCTTGGTCCAACGATTTTGGGAACCCAGGGCTTGTGAGCATGTCAGTCAGGCTAGTGATGTTGAACGAGGTAACTGTAAAATAAGAGACGATATTATCATTCTATGTTAAAATAGATCGTTAAGATTTTCTTCATACTCAGCAACCCGCAAATTCCATAAACCGGTACCAGATAAAACGAACGAAGTATATCATAGACCTATTTTTTTTGAACGCGATTTTGTTTTTCTTCATTTCAGACATCGTGTCATTCCCTAGAGCATAGATACAAGTCAAACGGAGAATCTTATTCTAAAGAGGAGGTCTGAAATGGGACAACATTACACCAAAGGTAAAAAGTAAACGGGAAAACGTCGAAGTCGTACCATTTGGATGACCACAAACAACACCTGCAGCAGAAGAACACCTTTCATTGCCCCTTTCATTCTCAAGCCAGAATTTCCATCCATAATGAGGACAGTCTCCCAGACTTGTTTCATTCCCTGTGCAGTTTACTTTGTTCATCATACTCCTTTTCTTGAGATGTCCAAACTCGCTTTGCTTTAAGGCATGAGTTGCTTTGGGTAAGCCCATTGACCGACAAGCAACAGCAGCATCTTTAATATCCCATTCCTTCTCACATATGGTGCCCCATCCGCCAACGTACAACATTTCAAGTCGGCCTTCGTTGGGGAATTTCCCTCCAGTTAGACGAAGTTTTACTAAAACAAGAAAATACATTCGCTTTCATGTCCCAAACAAATAATACCTCTTTATGAAGAGAAGGAATTTAATGTGAGAGTCACACCGTGCAGTCGTTTCGTATCGTGAGCATGACGTCATGTTCGAGCATTTTTATTGGACGATCATTCAGGGATATTGCGCGATTTGATTAGTCCAATTTCGAAGCATCTCTTCTCGACTTGATACTGCCCAGTGCCCTAACGCTTCGCAGCCATACAAAATCAGTCTGTTCTAACCAAGTAATAGCCGATATTAGGATTACGTATACACCTCATTGCCATTGAACAGTTGTTTCAAGTCGAGGTAAATAAAATAAAATAAAATAAAAAATGTCGAGGTATTTGGGTCGATTAGATAAGTGGTATAGGAACTGACCTATAAAATACAGCAATCGTTTGAAGGCCAATAGAATATAAGTCTAAAAACTTTCACAACATTTTGACGGCTAGATGACGACAATCTTGGTAAGAGGACATACTACGTTAAGCTGGAGGAATTTTTTTTTACCCCCAAAAAATTTATCAGTTTCACTTATTCAAAACAAGGGTGAAATTTGAAAGAAAAACGGTTTCGCGCGCAATTTGTTGACGTCATTTATCGGTATGTCCTCCTATTTACCCCAGCTCTAGACCAATCACAAAGCGAGAACTGAATTCAAAATTGTGGTAAAATTTTGTTTTTTTCAAGACTTACCATCTTCTGTGCGGACATTTTTGGTGCAGTAGTGATATGATTTATCTGCTCCAGTATACTTGTATGGAAATCCAAAGACACTGACGGTATACAGTGTTTTGGGTTCCAACGAGTAAAGGGTTTCGGAGCTGTAATCATTTTCCTTTACTTCTTTGGTCACCATTGTCGACGAGTTGTAAAACGTTACATATTGGTACTTTTCAAAAAAAGATTTACTTAGCTTTTCCATGTCTACTAATATCATTCCAGATTTGCCGGTCAATGAAATATTCCAATCGCGGCAGGACTCTAAAAATGAAGAAATAAATACCTTGGATGATACAGTTTAACTTCTTTTCTTCTAGTGGAGGTTGGTTGCTATTTTTTTAAAGTCAGACCACATTTTGCAAAACAAAATGCACATAAATAACACAAAATAAAATTTCTAATATTTAGACTTTCTTCGAGTTCCAAATTACCGCTGTGTTCCTTGATTACAGACAAACTTACTTAGGGTCTAAATATTCACAAATACCAATGGTAAAGTAAAGAATAGTCAACTTGATAATTAAGTTTATTTTGACTTACCATTTACCACGATGAATGGTATATTCACACCGAAGATCCCTATCCATTCCCTCACCGTGAAAGAAGAATAAACGTCCATGCTTACAGGCCAGGATGTAATCTCAAGCACTCTTCTACCAGTATTTTTGTTTTTTGCTTGGTATATTTGAGTGTTGGTGCCATCTTTGATCGTTAAACTACTTTCTCTGAAAAGAGATGATCGTGCACAATATTGATGATTTGTGTTAACATGTAGACTTACAAGTAGACTTGTCCAAGTCGTCCTTACTTAGAATTACAGAGAAAAAGAAGAAGAAAAATATCGATCAAAATAATTGCCCGAGCGCCATAGTTTGCGCGCCATAATAAGCGAGCAAAGCGAGAAAGAGAGGACGATAGTCGTGCCCTGACTTTTAATCAGCTCAGAGGCTGTTCCGGGGTAGCGATACAATTTGAACTTTTCAGAAGATGATCTTTACAGGGAAAAAAAAGGCCGGCTCTCCGGTAAGACAATGCTTCAGTCTTTCCTACTTTTTAAATAAAACATTATTGGTATAGCTTACCCTTTGTTTCCTTTACGATCTAGCCAGACGGTATCCAAGTATAGGATCAACTTTGCATTTGAACCGGTGGCCGGTTTTGGAAAATGGTAAACATGGTGCATCATGGGCATGTAATCGCTGAAACCAGGGCTCATAATCGCTCCAGCCGAGTTGGTGATGGTGAAATGTTGTTCTTTTATTTAAAGCAAGAAAATCATTAGTTAAGGTGAGTTGAAATGACAAAAAAATCGTGCAATTTTACGCGAGACATTGTTGAGTTGCAAATTGGATAAGGAATGTTGAACCGACGTAAAGATATTTTTTGATAAAAAGGTGTCTGACTTTGATTAGCGCATAGGTTGTTTCAGGGTTCCATCAATATTGTAAGTAATATATACAGTATGAGTGGCCGTGTTGTATCCGATATACAAACTCGAGGCGTATATCGAACGTCTAGGTTAGTTCCTTTGTGTTTCGCTAAAATTTTCAAAATTAAAGTGAATCTGCCCAAGAAAATCTAAGTTAAAGTTTATGCAAATGAACTGTATCTGATTTACAACACTCTTCACGGTCGTGATTTCTGTTGTGTTTTCTTCATGAATTATTAATGAGTTTGATAATAAGTATTTGACTTTCGTTTATCAAATTAAAACCTCTACCTGAAGGATTCCCACAGACCACACCAGCATCATAGTTATAACACCATCTTGTATTACCCCATCCAGCATGTTTACAGTCGCCTAGACTCGTTTCATTCCCTTTACATTTCAAAGCTCTTAACCATTTCTTCTTCTCTTTTCCACGGCCAAACATTAAATACGTTTTGTAATACGTCACGTCCGGTAGACCCATTGACCTGCATGCGACTCTGGCATCATTTACACCATAATCCTTGTCCTCGCAAATCGTTCCCCATATTCCTTGATGAAATACTTGTATATGTCCTTCCAAAGGGGTTTTCCCGCCAACGAGACGCGTCGTTGCTATGATCCAAGCAAAGGAAAACACTCTTTCAAAATGCGTGTAAAAGAAACACATTACAGCCTTTCAACTGCATGTCACATTGCCGTGGGATTTGGAAGTAATGCGTTCCCATAAAACACCACGAGTTATTCCCTTAAGCATGTTACTTTTCTTATTATTACCGTCAAGCAAAGAATATTTATTGATATAATTCAAAAAAAAAAATCTTGGAACAAATGTGGAAGAGATTGATGACAGCAAGATGTAGTTAATTTTTTCTTCATATTTTCCCATCCTTTTCTTTCCCTCCTTTTCCCCAACGCTTTTCCTTTTAATGACAAGAGTTTCTTAAATCCTACCTTTGTGAGTATGAAAGTCTTTGACTGAACAGAAGTAGAAACCGCTAGAATTCTTGGTTGCATCTGAAGGATACGCCAGTACACCAACTGAGTACAGGGTATTTGGTGGAAGGTAGTCAATATCAACTGATGTACCACTGGTCAGGACAGTTTTGATTTGTTCTCTTGTAGAGTTGTACATCACTACATATTTATATTTCAAATCTCGATGTCCAGAATTCTCGTCTAATGCATCCCAGTTCACGAGTATTCGGCCAGGTTTAACTTCAACAGAGATATTCCAGTTTTCATGGCAAGGTTCTGAAAAAAAACGGTCGTTTTGAAGTTAGCGGTTCGTGTATGAGTGGGAAACGATACCCCAAGTTTGAAGTCGTACTTTGACCGTATTGTATTCTACGATTTAGTAATCAGAAGCTATTTCAATGTTACAGCATGACGTACTGTGTACGTGCTGTAAGCCTGCGCCATATGTTTCCCATTCATACAAAAGCCGCTCTATTTATTTTTCTGTCGCACCTATTTGAACTTTTGATCTGTCTCTGGTGCCTGCCTGGCTGTCTATCCCTGCCACGTGTCTGTCTGTCAATGTTCTACAAATTCAGAAATACTTACTATCAACGATTAAGTATCTCATTCGGAATCCAGTGCGTCTAAGTGCTCGACCATCATACACGTACGTAAAAGAAGAAAAAAAAGAAACTATGACGTCACTGGTTCCCATGACAGCCGTTAACTTCGCCAGCTTGTTCTCCATGTAAAACAAAGTCGTGTTTATTCCATCGTGAATGGAGAGAGAAGTTCGTCTATATGAGAAAAGGAAGTATGAAACTCACAAACAGAAATTTCTGCAATAGGAAAGCCTTACGCCCAGGGTAAAGAGTTATGTTAAGTGTCAGAAGATAATGGTCACTAAATGGATCCTTCTCAAAAGTATCGTGGATACGAGGCTAACATAAAAATACAACAAAAAAAAAATCCCACTTTTTCTCGATGGAATTGGTGGCATTTCGTTTGCATTTCCATGTTAGCCTCGCATTCAAAACTATTTTAAGAAGGGTGCATTGATTCTCGACGTTAACTCAATAGTTTAGGATAAATTACTGTCATGCATTTACTCGTTAGAGACAGGATAATTCCTTCGCAGATCCATCATATCAAAGTAAAGTAGAACTTTAGCATCTGCGGAGACGGCGGGTTTGAATATCCACTTCATGTGAGCCTGCTTGGTGTACCATGGATGACCGGGGCTTGTGATCACACCACTCGTATCATTGATGTAAATCTGTTGAACTGAAAGAGAAGAAGAACTCATAGAATACAGTATGAGTTATAGAATCCAAGGGCAAAACATTATGACTGACCATCATGGATGAGGGCCATTGCGGCTTGTACTCAAAAAGAAAGCTTACCTTTAGGAAGGCCACAAACGAGATTTAAATATCCAGTACTGTATCGACATATCGACTTCTTCATTTCACCATTTCGACAGTCAGCAAGACTTTTCTCAGTTCCATCGCATGATGGATTCTTGATCCAGGTCTTTCTTTCAGGTCTGATGTAAAGGGAACCTTCTTCTCTTGGCCTCCAATATCTAACGTATTTCAATACGAACGGAGGTGCAGGTAGACCCAGTGAACGACACGCTACCTTCGATGAGTTCATGTTCCATCCGTATTTTGAACACACACGTCCCCATTCGCCGTTATGGTAAACTTCGAGCAGCCCTTCATTTGGAAACATTCCGTCGAAAAGACGCCAGTTGGACGTTACTAAATATTGATTGAAAACACAGTTATTGAAAAAGAATGAATGGATGGAAATGGAAGGAAGGAAGGAAGGAAGGAAGGAAGGAAGAGAGAAAGGAATAAATAGCGAGAAAGAGAGAACAAAAAAAAGGACGGAAGGAAGGATGGAAATGGAAAAAAGGAAGGATGGATGGAAATGAAAGGAAGGAATGAAAGAAAGAAAGAACGAAGGAACAAAGAAAAGAGTGTCAAGAAAACCAGGTTATAGGACAATAACAGTGCAACGTTTTGCATCAACAAAATTCAATTTTCAAAGAAAAAACTTTTTGCCTCACAAAATGGCTTCATAATAAGGAGTAAAGGAACCAACCTGGAGGCTTTTTACAGACCAGACCAGCATCATTATAACAAAATTTTGTCCATCCTAAGCTGGCAATTGTGCGACACCCAAGAAGGCTCTTTTCTCGCCCTGTACACCGTAGTCCCGACAACCATAGCTTGCTAATGCTATTTCCAAGCAAAATATGTTGGCCTTTCTTTGTAATCTTGGGATAAGTGACCATAGCATGTTTTGCAGCAACGAGACCCATTGAACGACAAGCCACATTTGCATCATTAATATCCCACCAGTAGTTGCCACATACACGCGTCCATTGACCAGCATGATAGACCTGCACGTAACCTTCGCTAGCAGACTTGCCATCAGTAACACGAGATTTTTCTATGATAACAACAAGATATACATAACATAACCTTCACAGAACACATTCACTGCCTTACTTTTACTTTCCTTCATAGTCCACTTACCCTTTTTTGTCCTGACGCGTTTGGTACAGGAATAAAGAGCAGAGCTTTGCTCATTTGTCAAAGGTATTGCTATCACTCGTATCGAGTATTCCCTACTCGGATCCAAGTTATCGATGACCACTGACGTTGAACTTGCTAAGTTTGCACGAACATTACTTGCTGAAGAGTTATACACTACTATAAATTTGTAAGCTGACTTGCTTTTCTTTGGAGGAGGTTTCCATGAGAGGTCTATCCTTCCAGCTTCACCTTTGGCAGATATGTCCCAACCGTCACTACAATGACCTATAAGAAATAGAGTTGACAAACAAGCTTACGAAAATAAAATCATAAAGATGAATTCCTCTAAACCAAAGTACTAACCGAAGTTCACAGTATCGATGATCAGTAGGACTTGAGTCTACTCTGGTTGTTACTTTGGGTGTAAACGGTGTCATGGTCTGCTCGAGTAATATACTTTATAGTAGTTATATGGTAACGCTGCTTCTTCAAAGGAGCCGAAGTACGTTTCTAAATAGACCGTGAACTATACTTTATACTTTCCTAATCCCTTATGTCAACAGCAAACGCCCAACCAACCTGTCATCGGATGACTCTTGAGTTGCAAAGTAGATATTGTAACTGACGGGCACAACATAAGTAAATATACTTAAGAAGCCTGGCGTGAACTTTTTTAAAAGTAAAAACGGTTCCTCTAATTGGTATTCCATATACTTTAGACTGAACCCATCATTACTTACCTTCTGCTTGTGACCTATCGATAGCTGCATATCTCATACGGAAACCACTTCCTCTGTCATCTTTTGGAGGTGTCAGAGAAGCGTAGAATATAACTTTTCCTCCTGCACTCTCTATTATCACACAAACTCCTTTGTGTTTTGAGTTTTTGAGAAAGAAAAGTTCAGTGTTGCTGGAATCTTGAACAGTTGCTCTGAAAGATCTGAAATCCAATTAAAGCATATGATAGATGTTGTTTGATAAACCACTTTCTTCAATTTCAAAACAGCTGTATTCTTAAACTGGTCTATTCGCCGTACATACCCGTCACTGTAGGTTCGTAAATCAAGATCATCAAAGCAAACGATCACGTTGGGATTTGGTATTGGAGGTCTGAATGTCCATTCGTAGTTTGCTCTTTGCATGTGCTGTGGATATCCAGGGCTTCTGATCACTCCAGACAGACTAGACACGTTGATATTAACCACTAAATGAAAAGGATAGATTAGAGGGAGAAAATACAAATTAACTTTATTCCAAAAATATTTACGTTTTATTATAAACAAGTAATGATATTTACTGCAGTGTATGGCTTACCATCTGGATGGCCACAGACGACTCCAGCGTCTTCACCATGTCCACAGTTATTTTCTCCCCATCCATCATGCCGACAATCAGAAAGTGACAACTCATTTCCACGACACTGAACCTCATCTAGCAATATTTCACCAGACCCTTGACCAAAGTTAGCAAGAGTTGTGGCACCGATGGCGTCTGGCAGCCCCAAGGAACGACACACGACTCTTGCATCATCGATATCCCAGTTGTCATCACAAATTGTCCCCCAACGTCCATTGTGGAAGATTTCTACTCGACCTTCTGATGAGGACGATCCTCCAGCCAGTCGTACTGTTGGTCAAAATTTTATCATAAACGTTTAAAACTTAACATTCCAACTACGCCGTCCGCTCAAAAATCTTGACTGAAAACGTGTTCAGTTAGCTTTATGAATCTTTTAATTTTGAAGGGTTTAAAAATATTCAGTCCTATTCCCGATCTTATTATAATTACCTTTACATTCTGATAACCTGAAGATTACAACCAATAAGAAAGCTAGAATTCTCCACATTGTGATTCTTGGCTTTGATGTGAACTACAGGCGTATAAAAATATCGGCCAATATGCTTTAGAATGTCTTCCACGGTTCTAGCTTGTGTATTGTGTCTGTACCATGCTCTGATATCCTTCGACTACATACTGTGTTCGGATCTCTCAAGGATACTGGTCTTCGAGTCTCGATTTTCAAAACGAGTCTCGATTTTCAAAACGTGTCTCGGACTCGGACTCGGACTCGGACTCGGACTCGGACTCGGACTCGGAATATCAAAAAAAAAAAAAAAATGTAAACTTTATTTCAATTTTTTCTTACACACAATTGTAAACCTCATTATAACCTAGGTAGTTTCCAATTTTCTACTTGAATCGATTAAAAGAAAAGTTTGAATAAAACAATCAAACAAACATAACAAACAATTAAAAAGAAAAAGGGAAAAAAAAAGCTAATAGCTCAACAATTCAGGATTTGACCATTCCTTATTCCTATACAACAAAATATGCAATATGTTGCTCTTATTGCAATGGATGCATGTAATGTTCTTGATTGTATGCTGAATGATTTTATTATCGAAATAATAATAATGATAATAATAATAATAATAAATGATAATAAATGTCTTTATTCTTCATAAGATAAAACATATATATCTTAAGTAACAAATTCAATGTAGCACGGTTACATAAGAATACATTTAAACTGATTAATTATACACTTATTTCAATAAAGTTAGTCAGCTGAAAAGCTATAAAGCTGAGGCCGACAAGGATTATGGGTAGATTCATTTTACACGTTTAACCGCTTGATAACTGTTCATGGACTTGCGAATCTTTTACCAGTTTAATACAGTCCCACCTCTTCTGAGCATCATCGAGCTGCAATTTGTATTAAAAAAGCTTTGTATATATATGCTTTTTTGATATGAAAAGTTTCCCATGATGCTCAGCGATCCCAGCTTTCTAGGTTTTTGGTGACTAACTTTATTGAAWTAAGTGTATACAATTAAAAAAATATATATATATATATTCTATATTACCATATATAGTTATACCTAAAAATAAGCCTATTAATAAAATATATAAAAATGTATCATATGCACGATACTTTTCTAGACCGTGACCTCAGGACACGACTCATCTGGCGTTATTTATAATTACAACAATAGCCGATCTGTAGACGGGGCCAGAGTGTTTGAATATTTACCACTGAAAATACCTTAATGTGTAAGAATCGTGGATCGAGTTGACCAAGACGTGAAATGATTTTCTACAACTTCCTTCAGAAATATTATTCAACTTGTCTTTATTAGGGACTGTACATCACTTTTTTAAGCCTGACGCAGTTCCACACACAAACACGTTACTCGGGCTTAGCCTTGTATCAGTCTCAAAATAATAGGCAAATGCCAAAAGTTAAAGTAAAGATTAATGAAAAGCATGAATTATCTGCACAAAATCAAGGTTGACCCCGAATAACAGAGTTCTCGGAATTAGAGTATTCAAGCATGCAAGCAAACCCTTTATTGAAGTTGGTCTCCCGCACAGGGGAGGGGGGCGGGTCTACTCTCGTATCTCAATTGGCCTCCAAAGTTATATAGCGTCTTTTTTGCTTGTTGATAGGGAAAAGAGTTAATTTTCAAATTTGTTTCGTTTCTTGATGCATAAAATGTCAACTGACTGACGAAGCGTCGCTCAAACATAACCATGGTTATATAATGCAAAGTTTCCCACAACACCTGAAAGTTGATACGAGAATATGTTGCTACATAGGTAAGGGTTTTTCTAGATTTTGGCATTATATTGAATGTATAATCAAATTTACGTTAAAATCTTCAGGACTGCAGTAGTGATATAGGTTTTTCAAATGAGGGCTTTATATGCTTTAGACTATTTGCAACGCTACAATTCATATACAACAGCTCTACAGCAAAGGCCTTATTAACAAAAACTTGTATTACCTTTGTACCATGTTGCTGAATAGGGACCCTGGGTGCATCGGAGCGTTTTGACTAGACTCAGTAGGACCTGTCGAATATCTTTAGGCTTGTCGCGTTTTTCGTCGTGATCGGTGACTCCAAGTAATGGAAAAAGTAAGAACCTCATTGACCCATGACCATTCAATTGGATTCATAAGTAGAGTCGAGATGCTTCTCAATAAAAGACATTTTATGCAAAGGACAATAAATTTAGGCCAAAAAGTATTCGAAAATGTCTATCATAGTGTATTACTCGTGCAAAGGCTCAACTTTCATTATTCAAGTCAACGTTTATCGTTAAACTCGACAGACAAAAGAATCATTCGTTCTTCGTCTCCCGATATCCACATTCCGAACAAGACTTACATCGAATTTATTTTGGAACATTGTGAACGTCATGGGGAGAAACATGCTATTGTGAGTACATTATTGATTGCTCTAAAAAATTAGGACTAACCTACATTGAATTTATATTGGAACAATGTGAACGTCACTGGATTTGCCACTGGATCTGCCTAAGTACTTAATTTCATTTTCCCGAGTTTTAACCAGACATTTTTATGAATGATAATTTTTTCTGTGTTGTTACTGTAGTTCAACTAATGATTCAAAGTTGTTGACGGCAGTTATCATAACTTCTATAGTCTATAAACTCATTTTATCAAATCCAAACAATCGATAAAGCAAATACAATTTATATGTTTGACCTTCCATCATCAGGCTGATTACATGAATGAAAAGTTATTTACATACAATGACGTCCATGATCTTGTAAAGAAATGTGGATCAGCCTTCAAACGCATGGGTAAAAACCAGAAAGATGTTGTCGCCCTCTTCATGCCCAACATACCTGAATATCCTATAGCACTATATGGCATCCAAGTTGCCGGTGGAACTGTAACTACAGTGAATCCAACGTATACTGCAGATGAACTTGCATATCAGTTGAATGACACTGGTGCAAAATACCTCGTTTCATCTTTGGAACTCTTACCCAAGGCAAGAGAAGCTACGTCTAAAGTAAAGTTATCTATGGACAATGTTCTTGATATTGATACCTTGTGGAATCTGATTCTGAGCGATGACGGCTCTTATTTACCTAACATCCACAGCACAAAGACACCAAGTGAAGATGTAGTTAATCTTGCTTACTCTAGTGGAACGACAGGTCTTCCAAAGGGGGTCATGTTGACTAGTACAAACTACATCTCACAAGCCGTTATTATGGCTTGTGAGAGATTCATGCCCAAACGACCTGAGATACCTCAAGAAATAATATTAGCGTTTCTGCCATTTTTCCATGCTTATGGACTTGCTTATATTATGGGAGTACACTTTTACCTTGGATCTAAGCTCATCTGTTTGCCGAAGTTTGAACCAGAGCTATTTCTAGATGCCATCGAAAAGCACAAGGTAGGAGTTTTTGGGCAACATATATTGTTGTAAGTAATCCCTAATGAAGAGGCAGCCAAACTTTTGTCACAAGAAAATAAATTGAGGAAAAGTCTTGGAAACTTTTTAGATGTATGAATCATTTCCTTTTTTTTTTACCCTTTGAATTTATTTATTTATTTTTTTTCCAGGTTACTTTCCTGCCTCTAGTTCCACCAATTGTATTATTTCTAACCAAACATCCCATGGTTGAGAAGTATGACTTATCATCTGTAAAGTATATTGTGTGTTCAGCAGCCCATCTGTCAGGCGAACTGGAGAAAACACTGCTGAAAAGGTTCCCCAATGTCTGTTCTGTACAGCAAGGTAACGTAAACTGAGAAAATGTTCTAAGATTATCTTTCAATATTGAGCCACCATTGCTTTGTAAGTATAGTTTACTGCAATTATCCGGACTTCACACTGCTCAGAGCTGCCAAATAAGATATTGCCATTAACAGAGATATGTCATCGTACTATCTCTTATAACTTGTTTTACATCTCTTAAAACTTATTTAATTGATCACAGCACACGCGAAATCGTTTGTGTTCTATCATCGCATCAAAATAGGGTTTTGGTAGACGTCAATCAAAGTGTGTTTCCAAGACACCATAGGAAACTGAAACAAAGTTTTCAAAAGGGCACGTACTCGAACATGTGCTCATGGAAACGGCTTGATTGACGTCCGTGCTATTGAGAGGCACTGTAAAGTGAAAGCCCAAAAAATCGAACTTAAAAATTGATTTTCATGTAGGAAGTAAATTAAAACCGACCCTAGTTCCTGCGAGAAAACTCACTCACAAGCACACGATAGAATCAGCAAAATATTCTACGTTTTGACTGATAGGGTACTTTGGATGATATGTTTTACAGGATATGGTCTGACAGAGACAGGAGGAGGGACCATGGTCAATCCATTAGACAAACCACCTACTAAAAGTGGATCCATTGGGATTTTGCTTCCCAACACAGAAGCTAAAGTAAGAGTTTAACAATTAATGTCATTAGTGGCCTTAAAGATTCTTCATACTATTACTATGAGTTTATTTCTCAGTTTTTTAAAGGTAGGATCAAAAAAGCTTCCCAGAATTTCTTTCGTTTGCACATGTGAAAAGCTCTGTTATTACCTGACTTTCTTGAGTTGAGGCGAGAAATATGGACCTCCCCCTCTTCTCCCCCTGTCACAAGACTTGACGTGCCTCTGATACATGCACGAAATCAGGTAGGTGAGTTATCTTTGTTTGTTTGTTTGTTTGTGTATGTGTTTTTTTAGGTAAAAGATTTACAATCTGGTAAAGCGCTTGGACCAGGCGAAGATGGTGAAATATGCTTAAGGGGACCTGGTATTACAAAAGGTACGAGAGGCTGCTATTTTCCAGCCAGAATTTTGGCAAAATTCCTGTCCCAGCACAGGCTTACCAGACTAAGTAAGTTTTCTTAAGGGGTAACTTACCCTAAACGACTTACTTAGCCTGGGAAGCCTGTGGTCCCAGCTAAAAATTTCAGTGGAACAAAAATCAAGTGCCATACACAATAACTTGTAACCTCCTTCAGGTTACTTGAATAACCCGGAGCAAATTGCACAAGCCATTGACCAGGACGGCTGGCTTCACACGGGAGACATTGGCCATTACGATGAAGATGAGTATTTCTATATTGTCGACAGAAAGAAGGAACTCATTAAATACAAAGGCCTTCAGGTAGCGACGAAAAATAGCTATTGGAATTTGCTACTTTAACTTTTACTTGAAATCGTGATCATCATATCGTCAGTTTCCCAAAATGCGGCTCATCCAAATGCAAATTATTTAGTTTGGCGTATAATGATTGCACCATTTCATATCCTTTTGGAAATGAGATTCTACGTTTGAGTTCACCTATATTTCTTCTCAAGAGCAAAAATAATCTTCAATGGAATAACATGTATGAATATTATGGAATAATGCCTGGGAATACACTTCACGCACATTAAAAGCAAGTGCATGGGAAACTGAACTTCTATATTTTAACAGCTCATTGGGATCCCCGATGAAGAGGCGGGGGAGCTCCCCAGAGCATTTGTAGTGGCCAAAGGTGGGATCACTGCAGAAGAGGTCCAGCAGTACGTCGCTGATAAGGTGGCACCACACAAGAAGCTGAGGGGTGGGGTGGAGTTTGTGGAGAGCATTCCAAAGTCTGCGAGTGGGAAAATTTTGAGAAGAGTGTTGCGAAAGCAATATGAGTAACAATAGAAATAGAACCCGTGTTTTACTCTCCATTGGATACTAGTTAGCTAATTGTATGGCTCTTGGTTTAAGACCATAAAGTTAGGAAGTACGTGCTTATAATAATTGTAATTATTACATTTACTATGTAATATATACAGTATGAGTGGCCGTATTGTATCCGATATACAAACTCAAGGCGTAGCCGAGAGTTTGTATATTGGATACAACACGGACACGAATACTGTAGATTGCTTATCAAACGTCTAGGTTAGTTCCTTTGTGTTTCACTAAAATTTTCAAAATTAAAGTGAATCTTCCCAAGAAAATCCAAATGATCCAAGTTTATGCAAATGAACACAATTCTGTATATGATTTACAACACTCTTCACGGTCGTGATTTCTGTTGTGTTTTCCTCATGAATTATTAATAGCATTTACCCTCATGTATTGTATTCCTAAATTTGGTGATATCACCAAGGTTTCAAAGGCTTTTTTTTCCCCATATACAAAATTACAATTATAAATTAGACATTCAGTATCGAAGGTAGTTTCAGGTTTTGATATCCGTACTTTGCAAGGAGAAATCCGTTTTTACCATCCACGTGCACCCTTGGTCAAAACCCCTTTGGGTGCAAAAGTACCGTCGACATAGAATCTTGCCTGCAATAGTTCGCTACTTCTCGTATATAGAACTGTTGGATATAGGTTTACAACGTGATCACGTGCCGTCAGTCATGTTTGATGATGAGAAAATGATCGTATTGTTACTGTCATCCTCTATTAGAGGTTAAATATTTAGAACTACTTTCAGTAATGTTAATTATCCAGAAACAGCTACGGAAAAGGTCACTAGCGAACGTATAATTTTCAGCTGAATAAAATAATTTTAAACCGCTTTAAATTTATTCATTCTATTTTAAAATTCTTTATTATTGATAAATGTTTTTCTTCTAAAAGCTATTTTTTAGCAGTAAAAATTAAAACCGTTTTTTTTTTGTGTGTGTGCCTTCTTTCCACCGTTGTCTACACTGGTTCGCCTGCAGAGCGTTCAATAAAGCTCAACCCGATGCCTGACTTTGATTTGTGATTTTGCTTCGCAACACAGCTAAAAGTAAAGTAAAGGTAGCACCACACAAGAAGCTGAGGGGAGGGGTGGAGTTTGTGGAGAGCATTCCAAAGTCTGCGAGTGGGAAAATTTTGAGTAAGAGTATTTGCGCAATTATCAAGGAAATAATGAGGGGTAATGAAATGTCATCTCAAACCGTTATCGGATCGAATTTTGTCAAACGCGAGATATGTACAGTGTCTGGCCCAGTATCCTGCCAAAAAAAATTCAACTTAAAATATCTCGTCGGCTTTATTTTTCTACTTAATCCGAAGCTATCCAATGATTAGCCGAACACTTCCTGTTTCTGAAGACAGTTTTGACGGGCTTTTTGGACAACGCATTCGGGAACGAGGAGAAGAAAAGAGCAGTTAGGTAAACTTTATCATGGCTAAAATTAGGCTTTTTACTGCGCAGTGAAATTACCAATGATTATAAATGAACTCAAAACATGCGAAACGCGACTGGGATCGCTATGACTTTTCATGTGATGAAAGAATGATGATGAAAACATTCATAAACTTAGGGAAAGGTCCATTAAATACGTTTTTGTTTGAATACTACGCTCTAGAAACAATGACAAAGGTTAGGCTTGGGGGGCCCTTTTTCCTGCCAGCTCATCGTTCGACTTCTTCTTTGTCTTCCTTTGCCTAGGAAGTTCTTAAAGCTATGTACTGATATTGATAAAGCAGTAGAAGGGCTGTATGTTGCTTTGGCTGTTTTATTTCTGCAATTCTACGACCGAAGAGCAGGAGATGAATGAATTAAAACAAGATAGAAACCCCAATAAGCTAGTGCTTGACAAGTCATTCTCATCGTTTTGTATAGTAAATGAACAGCGAAATATATTCGTAATAAGTTGATAATGGCTATGTGAATAATGTATGCGATATGTTAGCAGGATGTGAAGTGTGTTTTAAATGAAGTTAATGTAATTTATCTAGTTGTTACCAAGCGAGACACTTGTGCATTTCGCGCGCGTTCGTGTTAATTATGCATTGTGTTCGTGCTGTTTATGCAGTAAATAGATAAATAAAGTGGACTCGTAACACGCTTAATTTCTTAAATTTACAATTTTAAAATTAGAAATAATCATTTAGGAGTATTAAATTGATAAGAACTTTATTTCAAACTGGGATCTATTTGTTTGTGTCTCAGATTGTAATATCAATAAGCGGATCTTATAACATGAAAATTTTGTATTGCGAGTGAAAGTCACAAGAGCCGTTTGGAATTATTGCTCRAGGCGATGAATGATATCTAACTTGTTTTGCAATTTTTAATGAAAGAAACTATTAAGCGCGTATTTAGAAAGTGCCTTTTTGCTATTTAGCACCTAAACAACTCAGGGATCTCAATAAACCGCACGGTTGTTGGCAGTGGCAGGATTCTGGACCAGGTGGCAGGATACTGGACCTCCAAACCACTTTGTTAAAACTGCGATGCAAACCAAAGACAAAGGATACAAATGAAAAATTTGTTCTTATTGTGTTGCAGGWTAATTGATTCATAATTTGATCGGGTTTCAATGCAGTAGCTTTTAATAAAAGGGAGTTACGGTGATTTTTAGCTGAAGTGGCAGGATACTGGGCCACACACTGTATTTCCTAGCTACCCTTTTCAAATAAAAAATATTATTCGTAATTCTAAATATTGTGATGCCGACGGTGACGGCGATAATTATTCCTTTAAATATTAGTGTGCGAAATATCCTGCAGAACTTTTGTTTTAAGAAATAGAAATTTTTTTGTGAAGCTAGAAACATCTAAACAACGAGTAATTGACTTTTATACGTTTTTTTAAATGAAACAGGTCAGAAACGAAGACAATTTTAATATCTGTTTTATTACTTTCTGAATGTTTGACTGAGTACAGTGAAGTATGTAGAGAGCATTCCAACTGTTATCACGGTATCTTAAAAAACTCATTAATAATTCATGAAGGAAACACAATAGAAATCATGACCATGAAGGAGGTTTTATATCTGATATAGATTCGTCTTCATTTGCATAAACTTTAACTTGGATTTTCTCTATCAAACTTGGTGTATTTCGTAAAGCATTCGGTACGATATGAGAAAATACATCATGTGTTTTTTTAAGCCGTTTAATAAACTCGTTAAATAACTCGGCTGCGCCTCGTGTTTTATACCCGATAAAACACTCCTGCTCGTTGATTAAACAGTACATAATCATTAGTTGCGTAGTCACGTATTTATAATTCACTGATCAAGTAATTAAAGGATTGTTTATATCAATGTTCAGTGAGGCTTTTAATGATAAATTTTCTTAGAATGTTCCTTTTTTAGGATGTACGATACTATACGATTCGATTTTAACGGCATATCAGTAGCTTTCTTTTGAAACTAAGACACAAATGTTTTCAGTCTGCAGGCCACATTTTAGTAAAAAATGTTCAGGAAAAAATAAAACTTTCTTAATATTTCCTACTTAAATTATAGTCATAAGAAAATTAATTTTGTCCAGACTACATTCTATGTTTAATTTTTTTTTAAACTTCTAAACAAATGTTTTCAGTCTGCAGGCCACATTTTAGTAAAATTTTCAAAAGACACTTGATTGATAAAGAAGCAACATAGTTTTATTTAGCGAGGCATGAGGTGATTTGTTTCAACTCGTTTTGTGGTTGCTTCAGGCAAAAGAATTTTTTCAGGAAAAAATAAAACTTTCTTAATATTTCCTACTTAAATTATAGTCATAAGAAAATTAATTTTGTCCAGACGACATTTTTCGTTAATTATTATTATTATTTTTTTAATTTCTAAGTTTTAAAAAAGCACTTAATAAACAACTAGCTTTTGTTTACAATAACTTCATCATCTTTCCAATATTAATATTGGATAATGTCGGGTCAATATTGCCTTAAAGACAGGGAAAACCATTCTATGTTTTATTTCCTGTAAACAACACATCACGTGACCCGTGTGTCTGGATATATATGGTTCTTGTTTATCTCAGATATCATATCTGAGCAATTTAACGACTAATCACATGAAATGTTTTCACTGTAGAAAGAGACATGCTTCTGGCGTTTATTCTTTCTCTTGTAGTTTTGAAGCTACACTGTTGTCAAGGTAAGCTACCTCTTTAAATGGAAATTATTTCTAAATGGAACATTTAAGGTGGCTGGACCCCCTCACGCTTCACCGCTACCTTAGTGGTAGTGCATAAACGTCTTTTATCCGATTGCAAATCTTTTTTGCACATAAGTCACATAAAGATTGAATTAATATTTGATGCAATTTTTAGTGAGATCGGACGTCATA